ATTTTTTTTATGCCATAGCATATATCTGGCGGATAAGTCAAACTCTGATTCGTCATGACGTGTTTTGTGCAGTATAAATGTCGCTTATGATTTCCCTCAAATTCAGAATTACTTGTAATTGAAACAGAAAAATGGTTTGTCAAGCGAACAAAATGAATTCAAAGTTGTCTCACAATTCAAACAAACAGTAACATCAAACACAGAACGCATCAGACAGTTTAATTGCAATGAGATGACTTTTAGAAGAAAAAACTGTTGAAATAAACATCAGATGACCTATCCAAGAGACAAAATGACACAACAACAACAACAACGAACAAATCTACAAACCAAGAACATTTGAATGCACAAACAAAACTTGTTTACGTTTTAAAAGAAAATGTCAAAATTATCTTATTTATTAAAAATAATTTTTGTTTTTCATCTCTTTGGGATAACAGTAGTAACGGACGTGAGGCACGCAATCGAGCTGAGAAAAATCGACGTGACAAATTGAATAAATCGATTCAAGAGTTGGCTGGACGCGTTCGAAATGTGGCCGGCTCATCAAAGCGTATCGATAAAACAGGCATTTTGCGGTTCTCAGCACATGGTCTCCGCATCGAATATGGTAAATACTGATCTGACTATTTCCAAAATCCAAAATGCAGTGCATTTCATTTACAAGAAGTCTATAATCACATGTTGTCTATCTTTTTTTTCGGCGGTTCTTATTGCAGTTTTCAATAGCAGTGCAAACAGTCCGTGCCAGCTTAGTATTAATCATTCGAGTGCTGAATCCCTAATGAAATTGGTCAATGGATTTTTGATAGCGATAACGTGTCGTGGTAACATTGTGGTCGTAACACCGAGTATTGAACAACATTTGGGACATTGTCAGGTGAGTCAAAGATGAATCGTACAATTGTTCAAACGAAACGAACTCAGTCGAATCGCAGTCAGTGTCCTTCTTCGCCGCAAATTATTGTATGTTTGACTGGGTGAGGATGTGGCAAATGAAGTCGGGTTATAAATTTTTCATTTTTTTTATTGCTTAACCATTCTATTCCCGAGTCATCGGCATTCATTTCTCCATTCATTCTACCATTCGTATGTTTCTATCTTTGGCACGAACGCGGTTGACATTTACTCGCAAAAGTTCACCTAGATAATGGTTGATCTTTTCTTCTTCTGAGTTTCAGTTTGATTACTTCGATCATTGGTGGCGTTTAGTATGTTTGTACGCAATGGCAATCGATTCAGTTCAATCACATTTCGATTGTGTTGGAGTCAATGGAATAGTTGAAGCCGCAACCGCAAATGCAATTCTTCAATTTTCGCCGAATCGAATATACAGGGAAAAAGAAACAATGGTTCTATCTCTCACCCTGTGCTATTCACCGTAAATTTGTTTTTCATTTTTCAATTTTTATTCACTATCATCGGCTTTTATCGCCGTGCCCTACAAATATTCATTCGATTTGAAGTGTTAGATTTTGATTCGCTCTTCCCAATTGCCTGTTTAGTATTTTCTTCTTTTTCTGAACATTCAGTTGTGTTTGTGCGCACCGCTGATTAGCCACTATCTAAAAGCTATGAACGAAGCAACACACAAAAGAGACACAGAAAAAAAAACATTTCATACGCTACCAAGGTCAACACGAACGTGAAAAAAAAACACAACTCTAATATTTAACAAATTCATAAACACAAATGTAATGAGAATACGCAGTATTTTATCTCCGCAAACCGATGATGTGAATCTGTGCAGCACAGACTGTGCTGAGTAAACATTCTTCTGTATATTTTTTTTCTCTCTCGTCTCAATCCCACATTGAAATAGCGTTCATGTTATTGTTTCCAATCAGCAGTGGTTTATATTGTTTTACAATCAAAGCGAAATGACTGAAACTCTTCTGAGATTTATATATTTTTATGTTGCTGTGAAAACTCTGGAACACAAACTATCCCCCTCTGTTGAAGCGATCCCTTTTGCCGCTCTCATTTGTCGAATATTCTCCACTTGTTCATTGTCTCTCGGTGTGGATTTTATGGCGATAGATTATTTCTCGTATAATAAATACAAATAATGCAGCTGCACACGATAAGTTTGTTTGTAAATTTGCACATTGGACGTGACAATTTCTGTAAATTGCATTCTGTTTAGTTGCACTAACCATTAGAATCTCCGTACGCTTTGAAAAGAAACGAAAAAAAATGTGCATGTAAAATCTATATTTTCAATGTTCGTGTTTACAAGAAAAATTCGTGATTTCGTGCTCATTCTGAATTCGTTGCATTCTCACAATGTTTTCATTTGGAAATTGCTGTTCGGCATGACGTGCAACTTGTATTATCCATCATGTCCGGCCCTCTCCACCTGTACCACGTGCACGCTTATTTTCGATGCATTAAAACTACGCAGCAATCCATCGCATTTTGCCACAGGCTATCATCGTCAACATTTTTCAATATCGATTTCTCCACAGTATTCCAGTTATTTATGGCAACTATTTTGATTCAAACTTTATAAAACGTAAATTATTAACGGCTTCCCTATGTCATTAATTTTTAAACAATTCTTATTGTTCTGACGTCTCTTCTATTTTCAATCTAGTATTTCGATAAAATAAACACAATTTCCATACATATTAACTGAGTTATTCCTTTTCGATACAATTTTTTTTTTTTCATGAAATGATAATGAACTAATTTTTACAGACTGATTTGCTGGGCCAAAACATATTGAACTATACTCATCCGGAAGATCAGGCCTTTTTGAAACAACAATTGATACCGAAGAATTTGGAAAAGCTTTTTGACAGACAGCTGGAAGATGAGAACGGCGAACCGAGAGCTCGCACTGAAGAGGAGGAAAAGGAAATTGACCGGAAATTGAAAGATGACAAACGATACTTTTCAATAAGGTGAGGAAATGATGACCCCGATCCCGAATTTGTTCTATTCGTTGAAACAATGAAATAATTACGTGAATTTATTGCTTTTGTATAGATTGGCCAGAGCTGGTCCTCGTTCGGAGGCAACTACATACGAAACGATTTCCTTCAATGGCAGTTTTCGTCGTGCCGATGCAGCACCTCGTAGCATGCGAAGCAATAACTATCCAGCCGGTTTGCAGATGCTTCGACGACCACGGTGTGGTCGTGACGACTCAATTCCATTGCCTTCAATCGGTGGAAATGATATTGTAAGTATCGCACAAACAAAATCATCCACAATCAACCCATAATATTATGATATTGTTTTCGTTTTCGTTTGAGTGCAGATTTTGATTGCGATGGGCCACATCGTGAAACCGCCCGTTATTTACGATCGTTTATTCGAAGCCAGCAAATTTGAATACAAAACACGTCATCTCATTGATGGTCGCATCGTACAGTGTGACCAAAGAATTTCGCTTGTTGCTGGCTACATGGCGGACGAAGTATGCAATTTATCAGCGTTTACATTCATGCATCGTGACGACGTGCGATGGGTTATGGTTGCGCTAAGACAAAGTATGTATCCTCATTTCGAACGAACTTCCGTTCGTAACTAAACAAAAAAAAATTGTGTAAAAATTGAAATTCTATCATTTTTCTGTCGTTTCCACAGTGTATGACTTCAATAGTCCATATGGTGAGTCATGCTATCGCCTTATGACTCGTACGGGTAGCTTTATTTACTTGCGAACAAGAGGATACTTGGATATTGATCGTGATACGAACCAGGTGCGTTCATTTGTATGTGTGAATGCACTGGTCGATGAGGATGAGGGTAAAAAGCTGGTGAAAGAAATGAAAAAGAAATTCACCATTATGATCCAAGAGACGGAAATTACGTCAAACGAACCAGATGTGCCAGCCGTGGAGAATCCCGTTCAATTGGAACGTGCAATTATAAGTCTGATAACAAATTTACATCATAACGATGTGGTCGGATCGCCGGAAACGCAAGCCTCAATTGATGGCCACGAAAGTGATACAAATCGAAGTGTTAAGAGTCCACCCCTTGAAATTATACCACCAAAACCATCAAGTATAAAAACATCCATCGTGAATAGTATGCCCGTGGTGAATGCGACGCTGAGGCATTTCGAGCGGGACTCAATGAGCGACACAGAGGATGATAAAACCGGTGTAAAAAAGGTGACCAAAGTGGTGCGAACAACATCGGTGGTGCAACGAAATGCGAATGCAAAAGACGACACAACAGCAAACACATCGAATCGAATGAAAACGACGATAGGCATCGCCTCGTCGTCGACATCGTTGTCATTCCAACCCAATTCGACAACAAATTGTATCGCAGCAGCGCAGCCAAATCGTACCTCGACTGGATCGACTGACATTTCTCCACATAGTCTTAAAGATAACGTAACCGTAAAACAAGAGCAACCCGATTCATTCGAGGATTCGCGTGTGCCACCGTTGCCAACCAATGCTGGGTACTTCGAAATGAGCCCGTACGATTCGCAACAGTACATGGAGGACATTGCTAGTCCTTTGGAATGCAAGCCATTCGATTTCCTGGGTTTTGACCCGTTGCAAGTACAACAAGCGGATCAAAGTCGATTTTTAACACCCGAAACGGCTGCCCAATACCAATGCGTCGATTCGCTAAGATACCAACAATACGATACAGGAGATCGGGCAAGTGACCAATCAAATCAACCCACCAATGTGGGCGGCATCAAGCGAAGTTGCAGCTCAGAAAATTTAAGCACCACGAACAAAAGGCGATTCTATGATGCGTCACAAAATGGCGGTAATGTTAGCGAAGACGATGAAAAACTCCCACTGTCCATACATCAGACGTGCATTGAACATCTAACTGACCCTGGATTAGGTATAATATTTGGAACAGACCAAAAATCCAAAATCCATTCACTTTTTCGTTTTCGTGTTCGTGCATTTTTTTTAAACAATTTTTTTTTTCGATCCAAATAGGTCTAGAAGAGACGTTGCCATCAAGTTTCGACGTACTAAATGCATCGTTGATGGAAATTAACGAGACTGCGTCCGAACTTCGTGATCAAGGTACAACAAATCAGCAATTAAATGAAATACTTGTAAGAATGCCTATTTTTTTCTTATATTTTTGTTTTCTAAAAAAAATTTTGTTTTCATCGAACAAAATACAAATGATCAATTCAGATTGTGGAATTTGACATTACGAGAGATTATCATTCAGTGCTTATTTGTTTTTCTGTTGGAACAGGAAGAAGGAAAGGAGCAAAGCCAAATACTAGACAGCCTTCGGCAGAGGTATGAAATTTGTCTGCAAGCCGTACCTGAGACGATAGACGAACCACAACTTTGTAACATTGACGATTGTGATCTAATTAGACAGTCGAGATAAAAGGAACGAAAGACAGCGAAACAAACAACCACCACCACCATCGCAAGCAACAAGCAACATTGACCATATAAATCATTTAAGTCATTACGTTTCTCCTTATTCAACAAATTTCTGTGGCAGCACGACATAAATGCACCAGCATCAAATGGTGGCTGTGAAATTGACAACATACACACACACAACGCACGTCAAACGATCGATGACTGTCTATTTTGAGAACAAGACCTACAGAACGCCATCTGCATATATATACACATAAAATAATATATATAAATCAATAAACAGAAATAATACGTTTTCTCATTGTCAATATGAATTAAATGCATGTGACAGCAAAAAAAAAAAAACCAACAAAAATTAGAGAATATTTTCGGCTATATTTCGATTGTAAACTATTTTTGATAAGTTCATGGTAAACAAACGGGTAAAAATCATCAGCTTTTACTACATAAGTGGATTAAAAAAAGAAAAGAAATATATTGTGAAATGTGTCTAAATAAACAAAACAAAACAAAAAAACTATATATTCGTAAATGTGAAGAAAAACCAATTATCCAGAAATAAAATCGAAAATGTAATGAAAATCTGCTTGGACGAATTGGATGTGAATGTGTGATGTACAACGGTGTAATGTGTGTGTTTACATTGTCTCAATGCCAGACGCTCACATACACACATCGAAAAACGGTACAAAATCGCTGATTAACCAATTCAAACATTCACATTTCCATGCAAACCACAAATCCATTTTCACAAGGAAAAAAAATCGATTTGATAAAAACAAAAAGAAAATCATTTTCGAATTTCGCGCGCTGCTGAAAATTAAGAGAAAAATCACCACAAAGTGAAGAATTAATTGAAGAGAAATTATATTTTGATGTATGTTAATAAATTATTGATTATTATGGTTTTTGTTTTGTAAGCAGAGAGAAAAGGGGCACGCATGCTTTATTTTTTTTTCTTGCCATTGTCCACACATTAATGATAAATTTAGATTGTAATTGTTATTTTGATTTTGCATGCAAATGCAAATAATGTATATCTATCTGGTTTCGAAAGAACGTAGATCGAACACAGACAGACACACACACACACACACACACACATGAAATGGATGGAAAATATGTTTGACGTTGAACAAGAGGCGTACATTAAAATCACATATTATATTTCAAAGAAACTATGACTATGGTATTTTGTTATCAAAAGAGAATAGTAAAATTTTACGTTTGTTTCAGTGGATTTAATGGCATTCGATGCGACCGAATGCGGCAGAATAAGATACAGAGAGAAATGAAAGGAGAAAAAAAATTTTAATAAAAAAATACATGCCACGAAATGTCTGTTTTTCTGTCGTTGTTTCATAATTTGTTTCATTGTTTATTTTATTTTCTTGAAAATAGCAAAAAAAAAACGTTTTCATGGGATACACTCGATTCTCACCTTCATTCAATTAAATGCATTTCTTAAAAAAATTGTTTCTTCTGACGAATATCACAAGAATATATGATCAACAATGGTGCCACCCAAATAATTTACATTGTTGCATTTCATGTGCTTTTATTTTCTCTTCTTCGATTTTTGTTCCTTCGTTTGTTTGTTTGAAGTGGTGTTTTTTTTTCGTTGGGACTCAGGTCCGTGTCCAATTATCATCACATTCGACATTATTATCAAAAAAATTCTCAGTTTTCCTGTTGTTTATTCCCATGATACCGCTGAACTCTTCATTCATCCCATGTTTTTTTTCCTTCCACCAAATGGAACAAATCAATTGCACAAATCATATGATAATAATTTATGCGAAAAGGTTTCAATCAATGTTTTTTTTAAGTATGTTAAAATATATATATCAAGAAAATGCTATCGTCCGCTTTAGGCTTTTTTTCAGAGTTAAGCATTTCGGGCCCATACTGAAATACCATATTTTTGATAAATGCATTATGCACTTTACTTGCCGAAACGAAGGAGATACCTGACATTGTTCACTAACAATTGTTCATGTTTACTCACACACAAAAAAGAAATAGATATGCCTCAGCCATTTAAATCTGTAAATAGATAAATTAAACGAGAGAAGAAAAGAACAAATGATTTGGCTTCAGTTGAAAAATAAAAGAAGACGATAAAAACAAATATGATGATATTAAGAATATTCTATGTATTCGTTATCCATGTCCTTGGCTGACAGTAAATCATGCGGAAAAAAATCATGTTGTAAAAATAACCCCAAAAGTGAATTTAGCTAGTTTTCGTATATTTTATTCGACGTCAAACTTTTAATCGAAATGTGAGTGTCAGCAACATTGATTCAATTTTCAATCGACTAAATGTCACATATAATAAATAATTCACTGGTGTGGAAATAACATGCCCATTTGTATAATTGACATAAAATACATACATTGAGTTTTACATTTTGGTTGCGCTTATATTGAGTTTTAATACTCATTGCAGAAAATAACAACGATTCCTTAAAGAAAAAACGGATTTTCCAACCATATCCATTAGAAATAGAACAAAATGAAAACAATTTCAATTGCGGTTATTCATACAATATTTCTTGAATAATATCTTTGAGACTGGCTAATTAATGAACAAAAACAAAATACAATTTATTCACAAGAAATTGAAAGAAAATAAAATTAGCATGAACATGAGTTGAAAACATGATTTCAAATAAGCACTATTGTTTTCCTTTATACATGTCAATGGAACATTTCTCTCAAATTTTGAAGAAGAAAAAACCCAAACAAAACCAAATATTGGTCATCTGTTTCAAATGCCCGCAATTTCATCTACTATCAACAAACGATTCAATTAAACAAATATTTGACCAAGCTCTAAGAATGTTTTTATTGTCGAAATGAATAATTACCAGAAGAAAAAATTAGATAAAAAATAAACAACATACAAACACAACAGAAAAAAAGATACATGAAAAAGAATACCTCATAAAAATCTAGTTCAAAATAAATCAATCGCTCAGGGAATGGTAAATGGAACAAAGCGTAAATTTAGACAAGAACAATAGGTTTCTTGCTGGAATTGTGTATTGAGTTCGTAAAATGTTTTCTTTTTCTTCTTCTTAATGCCAAATAAAACAAAAGCTGAAAAATATCAAACAGACAAAACAACAACAAATTCAAAGATTTTGAATTGAATGGCTTATCACGATTTTTAGCAATCGCACCAGCTGTAAAATACGTGGAAGCGCAATAAAAAAAAAATCAAACCAAAATGGCTGCAACTCAAGTGTTTTGAAATATTTTGAACTCAATCACTTAGGTTAATTGAGCGCCAGCCAGCCAGCCAGCATAATTTGCGCATTTTCATTTTAATTGTGGCATATTTTACACCGAACGTTGTTTATGCCAATTGAACACACAACAAACAAATGAAGAAGAGACAAAACAACAACAAAATCGCAGACAAAAAAAATATATGTATTGATACAAATCTGTTCAACAAACGGACGTAGGTGAAATTTTAAATATATAAATTAATTTAAAAGGAATGAAGATGGATAATGAAAAATAAAATAAAATTCGTCTGAATAATTGTGTAATTTTTTGTACATACAAGTTGCAAGACTGCACGAATTTAATTGGGTAAGTCAATGTCGTTATAATGTCCCCTCTTCATTTGAAAACGCAATAAATTTTGTTTCAATCAAACGAAATTTCAGTTGTATTATAAAGTCATAGAAGCAAAATGAGAATTAGCTATATTATGTTTAAAAATATGCAATTGAATAACCTGTAAAACATGTGAGCGTGCAATTAAAATCGGTTGTTTGTTTTTAAATAATGTTTCAAAAAAAAAAACACAAAAAAGAGAGTAGATCATGTTTTTGCAAAGCAGTGAGGGGAAAAAATGCAACGGATTGCAAAATTTCGCTTGAAATGTTCTTTTGGCATTGCATTTTTGCCCGCATGAACGCTTGATGAGATCGAGAGGCATAAAATTAGCAAATTTTTCATTTGCAATTTCGTTATATTTTTTGTTTTCTTAGATGCATAAACGCCTTCAACACTCCAATAAATTCATTCAAACGGCAATAAATAAACAACATCAACGGCAGCAGCAAAATTCCATTGTTGTTGCGCTTCGGGAACATGATCGTATTGGCTTTCGCATTAAATTCGCACATTTGTTGGCATAGCACAGGAGTGGAGAGTTGTCGAACCGACCGAGCGTCGAGCATTTTGTTCCAAATGAACCGACTACAAAATATCAATTTTCCATCATTTTTCCTTGTTAATCACGTTCATCAAACGCCACAGCAAAACAATCGTCTGTACACATATACGATCGTACGAGAGCCTCAAATGCCTATGAATACTGCACGGAAAAAAAAATAGCATCATAATAATTTTCGTGTGTTACAAAAATAGATGGCAAATTTCAAGTTATTTCTTCTCTCCTTTTTTTGTTTTTCTTTTTTTTCTTTTTCGTTGCGATACACCGAACGAGTGAGAAAAACAACCAAATAACTTACAACTACACACAAATATTTTTGAAATGTATGTTGAGTCACAGTTACTGGTGTGTCTAACAAACTAATATCTCAGTATCTCGCGAAAAATCGCAAAATAGACAAATTTTCAAACAAGAAAATTAATTTAAATGAGAAGAGAAAAGAGGCACACCAGAAGAGAGAGGAACATCGAAGAAGATTCGGACGCGCGAATGAAAATGTGATGGTCGTCGTCGAAGCCTTGACGGAATGAACGATTAGAATATGAAAATATTAAATTGGAGCACACGCTGTGAACAGTGACGACACAAATTAAGCTATCATAATCAGACGCTTATCAAATACAGAAAATTCATTTGGAATCTCTCTGTAATCAGCGCTATTTTTTTTCATTTGATTGATAGAGTTAGTGAAAATGCTAAAAAGGACGCAACACATTTCTTTTCCAATAATGTCATCTTGTATTCTGTCTCATAAATCATCGTCAAGGGAAAACTCCACGAAGGAGGCCCGATTTCTACACAAATGAGCAATTCGCTACGTAAATCCTGAGTAAATGCATACGTGTTTTTGGACGTTTAGTGTAGATCTGTTTCTTCTTCTTCACCTTCTGTTTGCTCCATTTGTTCATTCTCTGCAACAGTTTACTACCGCTACTGTTTGTTATTTTCGTCGGCGATTTTGGATTTCACAACATATGGCAATACCTGATTTGTTGTTCAAGTACCATACTAAGTTGATAGACACACGTTGAACACACATTTTTCGCGTTTTATACAACAGACAAACAACAGTTTAGCTGTGACAGACGCACTAGCGACAGTGGGTTCGGTGTGATCACATCTCTTATTTGCTGCGATGCCAGATGATCGAAATCGTTGTGTTTGTGTGTGCTCATTGCGAAATACGATTCAATTTTCAAATTAATTTCTTTTTGTTTGCCCTGAAAAAGTTTGTGTTTTCATTGATCGATTATAAATCGGTTTTATTTGGGAAAATAATGACGATCGATCGATCTTAATGTGTTCGGTTATTGTTCCTGAATTGCGATTAGGACAGAGCGATAGCAAACATTTCAATTGGAAAAAAGTGTAAGCCGCGTGAAGTGAATCAAATATTAAAATCGCTCGAAATTGATGTGCTGAAAATTAACTGAATTGATCGTGTGTGTGTGTGTGTGTGTGTGTGTATGTGTGTGTGTGCGCCAAGGGGGAAACTACTACTACCGCGTAATTCATATTAATACAATCTAGTACAACACAAATTCTGAAAAATTCCAAAAAATTCTGCGCAATTCAAAACAATTCCAATCGATTCCGATGTTCCTTAGTCAAATTTGGTGATGATCAACTCAAAATATCGCAAATATAGGGACATTTACCATTCATTTGAATGCATATTGAAGATTTTTACTTCCAGAACATATTTGACTTGTTTTGATCTACAAGACTCAATTCTAGCTCTGTTTTCCATTTTAAAAATATTTTATGTATCATAAAGCCTTTACCTATTTTAAGTGAAATATTGAATTGGAAGTGAGACCTATGTACAATTAAAAACGCCATATCTGAAGTTATTTCGATAAGATTGAACATCTATGCGCTTAAGCATTCCTTTGAGATGCTAAATGACCCTATATTTGCAATTTTTGAAGTTGATCATCATCAAATTTGACTTAGAAACATCGGAATTGATTGGAATTGTTCTGAATTGCGCAGAATTCTTTGGAATTTATCAGAATTGGTGTTGTACTAGATTGTATTAATATGAATTATGCGGTAGTAGTAGTTTCCCCCTTGGTGTGCGCGCTTCATTGGAAAACCAACAGGCGGTACACAGAGGAATAACGACAACATTGTTGTGTCTTTGATGTGGTTCGATCCCGAGTCGTGCGGCTGTTTCATTGAATTAGAAAGAAAGAGATCGTGTATGTGTGTCGAAGAATGTCGATCATGTGTGCAAAACGTTGATTTTGAATCTGCCTATTTAATTTAGAGACGCATACGCGCATTTCTAGAGGCCAAAAACGATTCGATATTCAAAAATGCGAAACAAATCAATGCCCAGGGAAATGGAGCACGAATCAAGTGTACTGTGAGATGCTGCCCATATATCGATTGGGATGTTGATTGCACGTTGTGTTCGTTTTCATTTGAAAACTGTTTATGTTTGAAGTTTTTGTTTGAAAATCATTACAACTCAATCGGCAACTCCAACTAAACTGCGAAACGCTAAACCAAAAACAAAAAGAACACTACGACCATATTCGATGTGTTTCAAATCGTTAAAAATAATGAAGCTTGTTGTGAGGAATGATATCAAGCCAGTGCAATATATTTGATACATTCAACAGAGGAATTGAGTCCAATCGTCTCAGCAAACGGGAAAGCAAAGCTTAAAGACAACTCAAAAAGGACAATTATTATTATCGGGCGGTCATAAATTGCAGACTGAGGAAGAAAAATTGCGCGAGGTGACGACAATTTTCATACACAGAGAGTCAGTCAGAGAGGGAAAGAGAGAGAGAGAGAGAGAGAGAGAGAGAGAGAGAGAGAGAAAGAGAAGCCGACAGAATGAGTGCGATAGACCAGCACGTTCGATAGAGGAGAGAAGAAGTAGAAACAATTAAAGAAAGAGTCGAGGCCTCATGCATATGCGTTTATGTTTGATGCTGTCTCTGTCTCTCGAACAAACGAGGAAATCAACAGAAATCGTTTAGTTTTGCGTGGCATCAGGATTTTCATTGATGCGGCCGCGCGTACCGTTTGCGCCACATCACATTCACTTCAGGCACATCACCGTTCTTCTTTCGCTACAAGTTTTGCTGCCCAATCGAGAGTGTGTGTACACACTCTCGATTAATTTGTATAAAGAGCACATTTATTCGGTTTCAGCACAATGCGGATGAAATCGCAATCGCGTGTATTTTAAATTATCGTTAATTTGTTATTTGCTCGTCATTTTTTTTTTTTCATTGTAAATCTTGAATTGTCTTCTGTTAGGTTGTTTTGTTGTTTGCGAGTCTCAGCGTCGTTTTTTTTTTTGGTGTGTGAAAATGATAAAAATGTGAAAGCGTTAATGTTGTGCCAACTAGAGTAAAAAAGATAACAATTTATCAAACTCATCTGGATCCTGACGCTGGATTCGATATCATCCAATGACAATAAAATGACACAAAGTGATTTGGTCAAATAATCAAGTGACTAAGAAAAAAAATGTAAAAATACCTATTTCGTGGTGCACATCATTACTCTGTGTCGTAACCTTGATCAACACGATAAACTTTCTAAGAATACTACAGTTTCTTTTTCCTCTCTCTCATTTCGCTGTTCTGTTGGTGCGTTCAACAATTTGAGAGAAACGGTGTTAGCGAAAGAAAATTCTCGTTCGCCAAACCAAATTAATACGTGACTTGTGACCGAATTCCCACGGAATAAAAGCAGCGCATTTAGGTTCAATGCCAAAACAATAAAAAAAACGAGGTGTCGAAATAGCAACACTGTGTGTCAGGGATACACACAAAAGGGATTTCGCACGGTGAATCTCTCGCCTTTTGGCCCTTACGTTCAGTTCTGTTTTTGTTTTTGTTTTTTTCATTGATTTCACGGAGAGAAGAAAAGAAAATATTTTGGTGGCATATCGTCGAACGAAGGCGTGAATAAATTAACAAAAAGAAAGAGAAACAATCAAGAAATACGGAATAGTGAAGCGTGAACAGAAGTTTTTGAAGCGACGAGAATGACGACAAGGGGTATACGCCGAAAAAAGTCTTCGTTGTCCGAAGTGAAAATAGCTGTCATTGGAGCGCAAGGTGTCGGAAAAAGCGGTGAGTGTGCTGTGCCATGCTGTGCTGTGCTAACCTGTATTCATTTCCGAGTTCCAGCAACGTAATATTCGCACGGTCACAATCAAATCCACCATTATTGAATTTATCATTGATTCGGTTAACATAGCTCATTTGACTTCAACACAGCTCTAGAAATGAGCGCTGTGATCGTTTTTTAAATGTCCATTTGCTATGTCATTCGTGATTTTTACTTCGGATCTACCGTATTGTGTGCCACAAATGCGTAATACACAATAGAGTGTTGCGGTACATCGATCGAAACAATAATATTTCATGTTGCTTATGTCATGTCACTGTGGCACACAAATAATACCGTGCACGTGTCATCGCCAATATTCGAAATTGCCTGCAAAATGGAAAATGAAACGCAACATTCATTTCTCACATGCTTAAAAATAACAACGACTTGTCTTTTAAAGCATCGTTTAATTTCGCTTTTCTGTCTAGAATACTGGGTGCTTTGCTCGAAAAACAATTCATTTCAGTTTGTTTGCTTTCATTTGCAGCACTTTCCGTTCGATTCCTGACCAAACGATACATTGGCGAATATGATCATCAGACCGGTGAGTATATTTTTGTGTGACCGAAATGCACGAAAAAGCCCACATTTTTATAATTCAATCGCGCTAATTAAGCATTAACTAACATCGAGCGTGCCAACATCTCTTGCATCACAAATTGCTAGTGGTTTTTTTTCCTATGAATTACCACATTCATCGGAGTTTAAGAGAAGAAAAAAATCGAAACATTTATTTTGAGAATGATCGCGCGCGATCCATGTTTTACTGCAAATGACGACACATTATAGAGAAATGAAAACTCTAATCGAATTCCAATTATAACTGTCATTACGATTTGCCAGCAAATATGAAAATATTGATTGCTCGTTGCATTGGACATTTCTGGTTCTGGAACTGAAACCGTTCACCCATGAAACTTGATTTTCCGATCATTTGTTTGCAAACTGTTGGAATGCGTTATTGCAATGGAAATTGCAGGAAAATCGACGTTAAATTTGAAACGTCAGTCTTTCGATAGCACATTTGTTCGCCTCCACTGCGTGCATGCAACGCAATATGGCTGCGAAATAATTGGAGATTTGGGTCATGAACGCCAGAAAAATATGACAAGCTCATGACAACAAAGCCGCGAATCCGTTTGATGTGAGTGAATCGTTGATATCGAGTTGAGGAAATGTTTCCGAGCCAATGAATTATGCGCTTTTATCGCTGAACGTACATTACATCGTGTCATTTCATTTGCACCACAATTCCTACCACTTTTTCTTTTACATCGTGAATAGCTCGACGGAAAAAGAAGTACGCATTCATTTGCTCCACTTTTTCAAGTCGCAATCGCATCCACACTCCCATAACTTCTGGTAAATTAATTATTATTACTTGTAAAACAGTGAATATTCAAAATAAGAATACAGACATGTAGATGTTCACTTTTTCGTAATTTGATTACGGCTGCGTGTACACGAAACAAGGCTCATGAAACGACCGACCGAAGGAACGAACGAACGCGATGCGTTGATCATAGCCAACAATAAACACTTGTCTTGGGCCTGTTGGAACAGCCATTCGAACCGTTTAAAAAAACAAATTCACATTTTATATGCAATTAATTGATAATTGTTTTGCGCTGCTGTTCTGCGGTCGGATTTATTTTCGAGGGATGATTGTAGCTGCTACTGTTGCAATTTTTCCCAGAATTTTGTGCAATACAAAAATATACTCGATTTGCCACAGAGATTCAGCTCATCGCAGAAAATTCAGATTAACCTTGAAACTGAATACCCTTGTGTATTTGTACCTCTACGTGCCAATATTTTCATGTGTCGTCGGCTATGCGACAAACATCAAATTGCCTTTTTTGCATCATCGGCAAATGAATGTGCTTATGTGTGTTTTGCAGCCTACAACAGCTGTTCTTGGATTGTGGTTCGTTTCAAGGGCTACAGAGCAGAAAAAAAACCGCAGCTTTCAAGCAGCTGACGAAACCGCAATGAAATTGAACTTCAATTCAAAGATCATATTTCCATGTGTTTTGCCGCACACCATTTCCCTCCATATAACAAAATGAACCTTGTTTCCAAGTCCATAACATTCGGTTTGGCCGTTAATTATTTGAATTATTTCGCTGTTTTGGTCCAAGTTGTACGTCAGAGCTTCACGCAAAAAGCCATAAGTTAGATGTTTTATCGCTTTCATCGATTGCAGACGTTTTATTTTCTTTGCCAGTTATTTTTCATGTTGGCCATTTGTTTCATTTACGATATAGAAAATCGATACAAGCACGAGGCGATGGTGGACAGTGAACCGGTACTGTTTGAAATTTTGGATACATGCCCAAAGGTAAGAGAAGAAGATACTCATTTTATATATAATTTTTTGTTGCCATTTTTCGTTCTCTTTTACTCGAGTTGATCTGGGTGGGGTTTTTTTTTCTGCGTAAAATCATAAACTATCAAATCAGCGTTACTATTGCGTCATTCGGTGGTGTGGCAGCGTTGAGATTTAAAGCATCTTTTTGGTATATATGTTTTACAGATGGAGGGCAACGAGATCACGAACACAGCACTTGACGCAATCCAATGGGCTGATGGAATCTTATTAGTGTATTCGATTACTGATCGACAGTCGTTCAACTACATTAAGCGGGCGAAAATAGAAATTCAGTCTGACATTCCGGTTTTCTTGGCTGCTAACAAAGTCGACATGATTCACCTTCGACAGGTCAGCGCAGACGAAGGCGATATTCTCGCCAAAGATTTCGATTGTAAATTCAGCGAACTGTCGGCAGCCGAAAATATTTTTCAAGTTGCAGATGTCTTTCATGAACTATGCCGTGACGTGCTTAACGCAAGACGAAAATCTAAACAAAGCCTACTGGACCGTATGCTGGGTGGCACACGTGTTTATGCGCGTGGCAAAAGTGATAGTGCATTGCCGAAAGATTAATGCCCGCTTTTTAGTTTCTATTCATTTATATTATATATTTGGGATCACTTCGATACATGGGAACTGTACAACTGGGAATGCTCGAGCGCTCAGAAGAAAAAAAAAACTACCTAGACCGATTGACCAACCAACCACACATTTAGAGACCAATTTCAAATTTGACTTTATTCTATCTCTGATTTCATTGGATGGACACGGAAAACGGATCTAGCGAATTGAATTGTCGGTTATTTATGTTTATAAATATATATATATATATATATATATATAAATCAACTAAACATCGATTGGACTATTTATGAGAGATTGCTTATAACGTTATTTCTTTCATTTTATTGTAAATAGATTAGACTAGCGAATGGAAAAATAAATTTTGAGCTTATTCGAGAGAAAGAAAGAGAGAAAACAAAACACACTTTGAATCTCACCGTATTTTTTTTTTTTTTTTTTTTCAAAATAAATATAACGAAATACAAAAACGAAACATATTGACATTGTTTTTGGAAATTTTGATACGCATTTCCCGATATTCAACTCATTTCATATCAACCGCGTAAAATGTCATATACAAATTAAGTTTGATTAAGTAGCAATAAAGCTTTTTCACACTGTGCAAGGCCACCATTTTTTAGTCGCAAAGTCTCCACTTCAATATGAACTTCGTACTTAGCTTGAGTATGTGTAGTCAAGCGGTTAAGTGCTTACAGTGAGTCAATTCACAATGATGAAAGCCAATTGAAAGCTCATAAGTTTAGTAAATGGAGCCGGATTTGTATTCAAAGTGCATACGCACATGTGATTGTCGTCCACCGATTTATAGAATTTCGATAAAGAGCAATTCAATTAACGACTGAATGAAAATGAGTTAAATTTAAAATCTTCAGGGGAGAAAAGAAATGCAAAATGGAAGAGTTCTGATGCAAAACTAACGTTGATTAAATTGGCAGCGGTTTATTTTTGGAATCTTTGCGGTTTCTGCGGTTTTTCTGATCATTTTTAGCTAAAAAAAATGAGCTGTTTGTTAAAAAAAAATTCAGCTAAAAAAATTAGCTGTGTAGTAGCTCAAATCAGCTTCAGCTCAATTCTCACTATTGAAGAGCATACGAATAATATCATATCGGTGGTTTGACAAATCATACTTTTTTGCTATTGAAATTCCCAGATTCGGCCGGCATTTCATATTAATGACACAGCTTAATAATTGGCAGGTTTCAAATAAATCAGTTCCACCAAAATCATTTCTGGTCTTTTTTTCGGAGAAGATCACTGTGTGTATACAATTTATTGGTGCGATACACAAATCTATGGATCATTTTCCTTTCGATCGGTTGGTTTTTTCCCTCAGAACACGCCCAATTCTTCAAAAAAAAAACTTTATCATGATAAATGGTCATTTAAAATAGAGTAGCCTGAATCTTGACGCGAATGGTACGTGTTTATTGCGAATTTCCTTATGATTCCGGCACAACAGTGTATGCAATATAGATCTGGGTAATTCTCTCTAAACTATGCGAAATCAAATGTTGAGCAATTATAAATTCATAAAAACAGGTGCAGTGCGATTTGTGTTAGAAATAACTGTGCCATTTTGATCGATATTAATCGAATGGCCGATTTTTTATTCATGAAATGAAAATGAATTCAATGCTGTAATGAAAACAGAATACAACGAAAAGAAAAAATTTAAAAAAATCTGCATAGACAATCGGGATTAGAATATTCATCGTTCTGAATTTGTGTATAATGGAATGAGAGTCGCACTGTCAAAAGTCTAGCAGTAGCCCTGAGTGAAATTTTTCATGTAAACGCACAACTGTTGTAACAATGAAAAATTTCAACGATTTGCTTTCGCAGGCTAAAACAAAAACTGACCGCCAAAAGTTGAAAGTAGAGAAAAACAAAGATCATTGTTTTTCATGCGCGCACGCGCGCACGCGCGCACGCCGCGTAACAATAGTGGCATTTCAAATTGGTCCAGATGTGTAACGTAAAATTTACATATCAATTTTAATTATTTTGCTATAATCACTTTAAATGAACAATTTTCTTGGAAAATTTATGCGCAAATTTAATTGAGCACGAAACTGAATTTAATTGATCGAGTGTTATCTGAGCTGAAAGCGTTGATTCACTTCATTAGTTTATCTCCAGGCGCTGTTTCTATCTCGTTTTTGCGCTCGCGCCCCAATCGGCGTCGAAGTTCAAATCACTTAAAATGAGCCAATTGCTTTTCTTTTGTTCTCTTTGTTTTTGCTAAATAAATTACAACTTTGATAAAAGGCGATAAATGAGAAGCTTCTTTAAACATCGAGCGCATATTAGCATTCTACCAACCAGGTGATGAATGTATCGCACGCAAATTCGATGGAATTTACAATTTATGATCGAGTTACTCTATCCATTTCGTGCATGTGACTATCAAACAGGTCGCCGATTCTATGTGATCTTGAATGCTGGTCGCATGGCATTATCAAATCATATCTATCCCGTCTATTGGTGGTGATGACGGCGACGACAGCAGCATGCCTAACAGCTGCAGTTCACGTTTTTCTTTTTCTAGCACGTAACACTATTCCTATCAGTCTAATAAATTATTTATGTACAATTCTATTTTCTGTATTTCAACAGCATGGCGTGAATTAATTGAGAGTAAAATAAAGCAGAAAAAAAAATTGCATCTTAAAATAATAGTTCATTTTTTGTCGATCTGAATAAATTCCAATTAAAATTTTCTCTCGCGCCAATTTATGCGTTTCATTGTCATCGCAAGCATGGTGGCCATTGCAAAATGGCAATTATATATTTTGGAATAAATGCTCGGCACGCATACATCTAAATTGTTTTTAATCCCATTTCTGGCTAGTTGTGTCAGCCGCCAGGAATAGAATGGAACCAATCAAATTCCAATTTAGAAAATGAATCAGATTCCAAAGTTGCATTGAACGATAATGCGATTCGACTTAACGGACAGTGAAAAGCAATATAAAATTATCGGAACTATTCAACTGAAAACCGCCGACTAAAAATAACGAGAAGAAAACAACAACAATAACAGCACAAACATGTGATAGTGTGCTGTAAATTGCTGCGAAAATAGTCTCGTGAACGAAAAAAAAAATCTCGTCAAAACGAACGATTTCATTTTAATTATTATTCACACACACACACACACACACACACCGGTCACATATCGCTAATTATTAGCAACAGATGAACGTTCCGAACAGATGGAATAGTGACGGTGTGACAAAGACAAATAACGCTTAATTAGCTCAGCTTATAATGATTAACATTAATAATAGATGAATGGGAAATTGAATAAAAAAGATTGTTGCATTTGCAATGATCCAGATGTTGACTTTCGCGCCTTTGATTCTTTCTATGCGTTGTTGGCGCGCATAACAACAGTGTTTGCTGCTCGATTTGTGTGTGTGTGTGTGTGTGTGTTTTTTTTTCTGTACTGCATTCGAAAACAATCATAAGCCTTCGAATTCGATCATTCCCGCTTTTTGTTCGCTTTATTTTATCACCGCCGAGTTTGTATTCCTGTTGTACTCCACTTTTATTTTAACATTCATCACTATCCAGTTATGTGCCAATCTCAACGCTTAATTATATAATTTAGCACAAAAATGTAGTAACAACGACAAAATTGCCGCCACCGCCACCGTCGTCAAATGTGAAAATGCAAATTGAATGAAAAGCGATTATGAAGAAGGCAACGCTTTTTTTTTCTACCGCTACTGTAACTACTGCTGTTGCTGCTGCTACCGCCGCCGCAATCACAACTAAACCGAATGTAATTTGTGTGTAACAGGTGAGGCCGGGTTTTTGTTTTATTTTTAATTTTCAATTCCAAGTCTGTCAATTTATGGTGAATTAAATTTTTAATTATTCATATTTGTTATGTTGATTCGTTTTTTCTTTCAATCATTCTTATGAACATTTCAATCGCTCGAAATCGCCAAGAATGCATTTCACGCTGGAAGGTGCCGATATTTGGTTTTTTTTTTTCTTCTTCTCTCTCTTTCTTCAATTTTTTTTTCTTCCCATTTTGTATCATTTCAGTTGTATTCCGCATTATTGGCGGCCGAGTGTGCGTGCGATTCAACATGAACAACATTGCGAGAGAGAAAAAAAAAATTGCGGAAAATCATTTGGTTTCAGTGGTATAGGATACATTGTAGATACGAATTTATAGAACAATGTGAGAATTTTGATTGGCAACGTACCAATCGACGGTCTGCGTCATTATTCTACTCGATTTAGAATTCGAAGAAATAAAAAAGAAAACGGCAATCAAATATTCCAATTGATTTGCGTAAATAGAGCAATTTGTTATCTTACTTCAATTGTTAGCCAGGCCAATTAAGTGCCTGTTATATGGGCCATAAATCGCATTCAATTTCATTTGATTAATTTTGAGTTATATGATCGTGTCTGGGCGAGAAGTTATGGCTGCAATTTTAAATTCAAATGACCGGTAGATAGTACAGGTGTCGTGAAATGAAATGAAATCATAACGAAAATAGAAACCGCATTGTAATCGATCATTTTTCCAATGAGATTCATTCGGGTGTTGTTTCTCTACATCTATATCTCCCTCTCTATCGCTATCTCTTTTTTTCTGCAATCATCCTATTACATCGTGACCCATGCTATGCAAGGAGATGTGCATAAATTTACAATAAATATTTCAACTGCTGACTAGCTAACTGATTTATTTACCGGACTTCTGTTTGAAACATTTGAATTCAAATCGTTCATTCATTCGTCGGCTGAACATAAAATGGCCAACAAAGAGCCCATTCTTCTTTTTTTTTTATTCTCTCTGTTACCCTCTTTCTCCTTCTCTCTCCCTGTGTGTATATGTGCGTTTGATTTCCAATTGTAGTCTGCAGGTGGAATGTACCAAACGATGTCAAATGACAATTCAAACTAAATAAATTAACTAACGCGAATACTTACATTTACGCACAAGGATAACAGGTTCGCCACAAATCAACTGCTCTATCTTCATTTGTGTGAGATTAGATAAAGAAATAAAACACGATCACTTTTTTGTTCATTCGTTTGGTTTTGTATTGCTTTGACAATAAATCGTGCGACTTATTACATAAGTGAATTTCCCGCGTAAGTAAAAATGACCAAAAATAAATGTCGTCGTCATCACGAAGCATTAATATGGGCATAAACTGTCGACATAACGCACTTAAGTGAATTAATCATCATCAGAACATTCACATGTTCTGGTTTAAAAGTTTATGCGTGA